ACTTTGACTTCCATGTTACCGGCTTTCCTGTCCCCTCCTGCCTTCTTGAACTTGAGCCTAGGCTAGTGTGCCCACTTAGTCTCATTTTGTTTTATGGGCCTGTCTAATCTTCGGCTGAAGGGTGAACCTCAGGAGTGATTTTAGTACTGAGTTTAAAGAGAGTGCAGGGGCCATAGTCTCAGGGTTTCTCCAGTCTCTGACAGACCAGTAAGTCAGGTCTTATTTTTGTGTGTGTGTGAGTTAGAATTTTGTTTATTTTTCTCCAGCTCTGTCTGGGACCTTCTATTGTGATCCCTGTCAGAACAGTCGGTGGTGGTGGCCAGGCACCATCAAGTTGTGTTGGACTCAGTCTGGTGGAGTCTGTGGTAGTTATGATCCATTAGTCCTTTGGACTAATCTCTCCCTTGAGTCTTCGGTTTTCTTCATTCTTTTTTGCTCCAGACGGGGTGAGACCAGTGGAGTACCTTAGATGGCCACTCGCAAGCTTTTAAGACCCCAGATGCTACTCACCAAAGTCGGTTGTAGAACATTTTCTTTATAAACTATGCTATGCCAATCAAGCTAGATGTTCCTCTAGACCATGGTCCCCAGCCCTCAGCCCAGGCCTTCCCTGATATTTCCGAGAATTTTCAGAGGGACTTTGTTGTTACTTCTGCCTCTGAGTTCAGCCCCCTTCCCCTCCCATCAAATTCTCCAACTCATTTACATTGTACCTTTTACCACTTCCCTCTTACTTCTGCTCTATGCAACCAAGATGTGGGTTTCAGTCCCTTTTCCATAATTTTCCTCTTCCCCAAAGTACCCACACAAGGCACTAGTATGTTCAGCGGGCTTTACTGAAGGTTTGTAGTGGCAGGAGTCTTTTACATCTCTGTGAATTTTAGCCTCCAATCAGTGCAACCAATCAGTTGCCATCAAGCTGATTCAGACTCATGGTGACCCCATGTGTGTCAGAGTAGAACTGCCCTCCATGGGGTTTTCAATGCCTGCTTTATTTGGAAGTAGATCACCAGGCCTTTCTTCCGAGGTGTCTCTGGGTGGACTCAAACCTCCAACCTTTCATCTTTTCAGTTAGCAGGGACTCCCCCCACTCAGGGACTCCCCCTCAAAACTTTCCTCATAGATTCTTCCTTATTACTCTTCCAATTCCCCTCCAACCTCCACTCCAGCTCAATTCTCCTCACATTATTGTACAAAACAACTTTGCTTTTCCTTCTTACTTGGTCTTGGACTTATCTTTGCATTTTCAAAGTCTCATTGTGGTCAGGTGACCACATAATTTATCCTCCTAATTGGGACACTTTTGAGAGTGAAAGGGAGCCTAATAATAAACTAACTTGCTGGGACAAAAGGGAAGTCCCAGGCAAACCAGGACATATGATCACCCTGAATCTTTTCTAAAAAATGGAACTCTAAAAAATAAATAAATAAAGCCCATTGCCATTTATTCCAATTAATAACAACCCGATAGGACAGAATAGAACCTCTCCAAAAAGGCATTTGACAAAGTCCAACAACCATTCCTAATAAAAACTCTCAATAAAATAGGTATAGAAGGGAAATTCCTCAACATAATAGAGGGCTTCTATACAAAACCCACAGCCTACATCATTCTTAATGGAGAGAGGCTGAAAACATTCCCCTTGAAAACAGTAACAAGACAAGGATGTCCTTTATCACCACTCCTACTTAATATTGTGCTGGAAGTCCTAGATAGAATGATAAGGCAAGAAAAAGAAATAAAGGGCATTCAAATTGGCAATGAAGAAGTTAAACTGTCCTTATTTGTGGATGATATGATACTATATATAGAAAACCCTAAAGACTCCATGAGAAAACTACTGGAACTAATAGAAAGATTCAGCAGAGTAGCAGGATACAAGATAAACATACAAAAATCAGTTGGATTCCTATACACCAATAAAGAGAACGATGAAAAGGAAATCAGGAAAACAATACCATTTATAATAGTCCCTAAAAAAAATAAAATACTTAGGAATAAATCTAACCAGGGATGTAAAAGACCTATACAAAGAAAACTACAAAACACTATTGCAAGATACCCAAAGAGATCTACATAAATGGAAAAACATACCGTGCTCATGGATAGGTAGACTCAACATTGTGAAAATGACAATTCTACCCAAAGCAATCTACAAATACAATGCAATCCTGCTCCAAATATCAACAACATTTTTTAAAGAAATGGAAAAACTAATCATTAACTTTATATGGAAAGGGAAGAAACCCCGGATAAGTAAAGCACTATTGAAGAAGAATAAAGTAGGAGGACTTGCACTACCAGACCTCAGAACCTACTATACAGTTACAGTTGTCTAAACAGCCTGGAACTGGTACAATGACAGATACACTGACCCATGGCACAGAAATGAGTACCCAGATGTAAATCCATCCACCTATGGTCACCTGATCTTCAAAAAAGGCCCAAAGTCCATCAAACTGGGAAAAGACAGTCTTTTTAACAAATTGATGCTGACAAAACTGGATGTCCATCTGCAAAAAAATGAAACGGGACCCATACCTCACACCATATACCAAAACTAATTCAAAATGGATCAAAGACCTAAATATAAAACCAAAAACTACAAAGATCATAGGAGAAAAAATAGGATCAATGTTAGAGGTCCCAATACACAGCATTAACAGGATACAAATCATAACTAACAACACACAAACTCTAGAAGATAAGCTAGATAACTGGGATCTTCTGAAAATTAAACACTTATGCTCATCAAAGACTTCACCAAAAGAGTAAAAAAGAACCTACAGACTGGGAAAAAAAATTTGGGTTATTACAAATCCGACAAAGGTCTAGTCTCTACAATCTACAGGAAAATACATCACCTCTACAACAAAAAGACAAATAATCCATTAAAAAATGGGCAAAGGAAACGAACAGACTCTTCACCAAAGAAGACATTTAAGCGGCTAACAGACACATGAAGAAATGCTCACAATCACTAGCCATTAGAGAAATGCAAATCAAAGCTACAGTAAGATACCATCTCACCTCCACATTGCTGGCACGAATCAAAAAAAACCCAGAAAATAACAAATGTTGGAGAGGCTGCAGGGAGACTGTAACGCTTATGCACTGCCGATGGGAATGCAAAATAGTACAACCATTTTGGAAAACAATATGGCACTTCCTTAGAAAGCTAGAAATAGAAATGCCATATGATCCAGCAATCTCACTCCTAGGAATATATCCTAGAGAAATAAGAGTTATCACACAAATAAACATATACACACCCATGTTCACTGCTGCATTGTTCACAATAAAAAAGGTGGAAATAACCTATATGTCCATCAACAGATAAATGGATAAACAAACTATGGTACATACACACAATGGAGTATTACACAATGATAAAGAACAATGATGAATCCGAAAAGCATCTCATAACATGGATGAATCTGGAGGACATTATGCTAAGTGAAATAAGTCAATCACAAAAGCACAAATATTGTATGAGACCCCTACTGTAAAAACTCATGAAAAAGTTTACACACAAAAAGAAACAATCTTTGATGGTTACAAGGGAGAGAAGTGGTGGGGATGGAAAAACACTAAATAGACAATAGATAAGTGGTCACTTTGGTGAAGGGTAAGACAGTACACAATACTGGGGAAGCCAGCACAACTTGTACAAGGAAAGGCCATGGAAGCTCTATAGACACATCCAAACTCCCTGAGGGACCGAATTGCTGGGCTGAGGGCTGTGGGGACCATGGTCTAGGGGAATATCTAGCTCAATTGGCATAACATAGTTTATAAAGAAAATGCTCTACATTCTACTTTGGTGAATAGCGTCTGGGGTCTTAAAAGCATGTGAGCAAACATCTAAGATACTCCACTGGTCTTACCCCTTTGGGAGCAAGGGAGAATGAAGAAAACTAAAGATACAAGGGAAAGATTAGTCCAAAGGACTAATGGACCACAATTACCACGGCCTCCACCAGACTGAGTCCAGCACAACTAGAGAGTGCCCAGCTATCACCACTGACTGTTCTGACAGGGATCAAAACAGAGGGTCCTGGACAGAGCTGGATAAAAATGTAGAACAAAACTCTAACTCACAGAAAAAGACCAGACTTACTGGCCTGACAGAGACTGGAGAAACCCCAAGACTATGGCCTCCGGACACCCTTTTAGCTCAGTAATGAGGTTACTCCTGAGGATCACCCTTCAGCCAAAGATTAGACAGGCCCATAAAACAAAATGAGACTAAATAGGCACACCAGACCAGAGGCAAGGATGAGAAGGCAGGAGGGGGCAGGAAAGCTGGTAATAGGGAACCCAAGGTTGAGAACGGAGGGAGTTGACATGTCATGGGGTTGTTAACCAATGTCATAAAACAATATGTGTATTAACTGTTTCATGAAAAGCTAGTTTGTTCTGTAAACCTTCATCTAAAGTACTTTAAAAAAGAAAAAAAAAGAGGTTAAACAAGCAAAGCACAGATGGGGGAAGAGGGATGCCAAGCCACATGAAGATCACCCAGGAACAGAAGCTCAAAGAGACAGGATCCTTCCACCAGAGCTGACAGAGAGAGTAAGCCTTCCCCTACGGGCAGCACCCTGAATTCAGACATCTAGCCTCTCTGTGAGAAAATAAATTTCTGTTGGTAAAGCCCCTCCCAAAAAGAAAAGAATAGAACTTCCCTATAGGGCTTCCAAGGCTGTAATTTTTACGGAAACAGACTGACGTATCTTTCTTCCAGGGAATGGCTGGTGAACTCTAATCACTGACCTCTTGGTTAGCAGCGAAGCACTTAACCATTGTGCCACCAGGGCTCCTAATGAACCTCTACAGGGTGTTAATCCTAAGAGGGAGGAAAAGGAGAGACAAAACGCAGAAGGTGAACCCTAATGGTCCTTGCCTCAGGAGGGACAAAGCTGGGACAGGCTCTTTGTTGGTCCTTCTGTCTCAGGAAACTGCCTCCAGGGCTAGGGGTGGTTTGGATGAGCATGTCCCTGCATCTCATATGTCACTCCTTGCCTTTAGAACTGCACTTTTGATTCCAAGAGAATTGGAAGAAATACCCAGCCGGCTACCTCCATCAGAATGTTTATATGCATTTTTTTAAAAACACACACACACAACTGAGTTTCTTTTTAGGAGGATAAAAAACATTTGAAAATGGATAGTGGTGATGGCTGCACAACATGGTGAATGTAATTAATGCCGCTGAACTGTACATTTAAAAATAGTTACAATGGCAAAGGTTTTGTTATATATATTTTACCACAATTAAAAAAAATGGAATAATAATAACCAACCTCACAGGCTGATATTGAGGCTCAAATTAAAAACAAAAAACAAAAAACCAGTACACACACACATCTAAAAAAGCCGTATCAGGATCCCAGCTGGACGCACATCTGATCCCTCCCCACTCCCAGCATCTCCTTGGCTCCCCTTCAGTGGAATACAATGGAGGCATATTCCACCTGGTCCGGTGAGGTCCTCCTGGTGCGATCAAAAGGAGGCACGTTGGCATAGATGGCAAAGTCCTCCTCTTTCCAGGGACCCAGGTTGATCACGTTGGAATATATAGCATCGGCATGGCAGGAAGGCTCCTTTAGAGACACAACCCCAGTTAGAGGCAGATGGGTGGGCACAAACAATTTCTAAGAAAAACCAGGTACCATGTTGCCCCTACAGGACAGCAGGCAAGCCCTGGGTCTATCTCAATTTTCAAAAGCATTCCTTTCAGGACCCGCCTCTGCCTCATCCCCACCACCTTCCCATTGGTCTATCTAGGGAAGAGATGGCAGAGATGGCAGGGGGCCCTTCTCGGTGGGACTCGTCGATCTCCTTACCAAGGATTGGTGGAGAAAGTTTCTCTGATGCCTCAGTTGTCTCTTAAACAGCCCTAGAAAAGTTAACAAACTCAGAGTGAGTCTGAGTTGGGGTAGTTATCATCCGTGCTTGGTTGATTGCTGGGCCTAGGGGTGAGCTTTGAAATGCATAGTCCACCATGTTCAACCCATGGGGTCTCTGAGACTGAACTAAATGCCCAGTTAGACACAGGAGAGTGACTACTATTGGTGCACTTTGTAATTTTTGTTTATTATTTAGTTAGATTATTTAGCCTCAATATTTCTTTTGGTTGGTGTGAATAAACTGTAAGTGTATATGCGGATTGTTCATATGTGGCTTTCAGCATAAAGAATGTTCATCGTGAGTAAGTCTTATTGCTATACTGTTCCCTGGAACTCTAGACAATAGCTGTTACAGGCAGTATCTGCCCTAAATGGTTAGACCCTATAGCCTGCCCACCACCACCTCCCCAAAGCTGCCCCATAAGAAAGACACCCTCACTCCCATGCCCACTCCCAGTTTCTCCCCTTTCTTCATTCCCAGCCCCAGGGTCAGCTTATTCAACTCACTCTCATGCCTCCATTTCTTCAGGGTCACAGACAAGAGACCCACCAGGAGTAAGATGAAGGCCACAACCCCAACAGAGCCAGAAACGGCAGTAGCTGCTGTGCCTAAGCTGAGGGAAGCAAACAGGAGGGATGAGGGCCATCCACTGCCCTGGCTAGCTTTGGTGACCAACCACAAAATTGCCCTGGGGCTTCCCTGCTCCTGTGGGAGCTCTCCCATCCCTGGGCTTCCACCTCCCCAATGGCCAACCATCTCTTGCCTCCATTTTGAGTCTTTCTCTGCTCTAGCCTCCATGGCAATGACCCTGAATCACCCCCTATACCTGGGCCAACCAGACCCCTTCCCTGAGCTTCCCAGCCCTTCTCCTCCCAGGGTTCAGCCCTTCTCTCACCCACCTGCTGAGTCCATTGTATTTTCTCTCTGATTTCAGGATGGTGGTGTTCTCTGCAGAAAGAGTCAGAGAGGAAAAGGAAAGGAGATTTTAGAGAAATTCTGCACACACACATCAGTGAGCTCTACAAGATCCTAAATGGTAATGTTAGCTACCATTTACTGCGGACTTAGTACATGCCAGGCACATTCATTATCTCATCTAATCTTCATACATACATAATGAGGCAGGAACAATTACTATTCCCATCGTACAGTACAGAAACCAGCTCACAGAGAACAGACTTGCTCAAAGTCATGGAATTAGTAAGTGGCAGCATTCGGACCTGAACCCACGTCTCTCTGATTTTAAATCATATTTTCCTAACCACTATACTCCGCTAAAAGGAGCCCTGTTGGCATAGTGGTTAAGCACTTGGCTGCTAACCAGAAGGTTGGTGGTTCAAATCCACCAGCTGCTCCTCAGGAGAAAGATGTGGCAATCTGCTTCTGTAAAGATTACAGCCTAGAAAACCCTATGGGATCCTATAGGATCGCTGTGAGTCAGAATCATCTCGACAGCAGCGAGAGTCACACTCAGCTACCTACATGTAATCATTTCACTCTCAAGTTTTACCCTTCTTACAAAGGATTAAGGGCTATTAGATATGACAGGATGTTCAGGAAAAAGATATCTGAAATGATGTAGGTGATCAGTACAGGAGGACATGCGGAGGGGGTTGAACTTTGAAATGCACCAGCAAGTTGGGCTGGGACTAGGAAAGGGACAGATGTGAGAGCCTGCTCATTCTGGGGTGGGAAGGGAGAAATTATTCACACTGTGAAAGAATTTCTCCTGCCTCAAGGGTTGGAGACGCCCAGCCTATCCTCTCTCCAGCCACGGTCCGTCCCTGGATTCTCACAGAAGGAATCTTAAAACATATTTAGCCACACAGGTGAAGAACCTCAGAGGAAAAGACTCGCCCAAGGAAAGTGCTGGAGCCAAGACTTGAGTCCTCGCTTCCACTCCAAACCAAAGCTCTCTTTGCCTGCACTCACGCCCCCTCTGTTTATTCCCACCATAAAGTAGCACAGCACAATTCAGCCCCTTACAGATAGTGCCTCTCTGGCCGCATGTCTTGGAGAGCTGACTACTCAGACACTCAAATGCAGAGATGGCTACCAAAGAGGGTGGAGGGAACATATCAGATTACTCCAGTCAAAAACCAGTTGCTGTCAAGTTGACACCAACTCCTGGTGACCCTACGTGTGTCAGAGTAGAACTGTGCTCCGTAGGATTTGCAATGGCTGATTTTTCAGAAGTAGACTGCCAGGCCTTTCTTCCAAGTGCTTCTGGGTGGACTCAAACCTCCAACCTTTTGGTTAACAGCTGAGCACATTAACCATCTGTACCACCCAGGGACTCATATCAGATGACTAGGGCAATCTCATGTCCACCAGTGATAAATAACATCTGTGAGTGAAGAGCACCAAGACTTACAGCCTCTTTGGGCATCAAGGCCAGATGGAACTGTGTCTTAACACGGCTCACTTCCTCTCTGCCCTTTTATTTCTGTCCCCCTTCTGAGTAAGAGAACTGACCTCACTCAGTTTCTCTTTGACAGCTCCTACTCACCTACCAGGGAAAGAGTAGGAAGTGAGCTTGGAAACCGGATCTCCCAGTAAACATGGCACCAAATGAGTCACCCACGATGAGGCTCTGAGTCACAGGGGCATGATGGTGTGTGTGAGGTAGGGGGTGGTGTAGAGAGATGTCACATGTAAGCCCCAAGAAATGAGAGAGGAGCTGGGTGCCAGCTGGGGGAGGCTGGCACCAGCAGGCAGGGCACATCTGTTTACAGCGAGGAGGAGAGACAGCATGAGGGTGACCATTCAGGCCCTGAAAGTTAAGCATATATCCTGGGAAGACAGGGGGGTCAGTAGGGTGAGAAGGACAAGCATGAAGGATGATGTCATCAAACAGCCTGAAAGCTAGAGGTCTCCAGCGCTTCCTAACTGTGGTCTGAGCCCCATTTTCTTCATCTGTGAAATGGACATAATATGAATGCTCACTTTACAAAGTTGTTGTGAGAACTAAACAGTCAAACTATATTTAACAGTAAATAATAACTATTATAAGGACCCTGGTGGTGCCATGGTTAAGTGCTTGGCTGCTAACCAGAAGGTTGGTGATTCAAATCCACCAGCAGCTCCATGGGTGAAAAGACCTGGCAATCTGCTCCTGTAAAGATTTACAGCCTAGGAAACCCTACAAGGCAGTTTTACTCTGCCACATGGGGTCACTGTGAGTTGAAACAGACTCAACAGCACCTAACAACCACAGTAACCATTTTGCCTAGTGCTGGAGTTCAGCTGCTCTTACCTGAGCAGAGCAATCCCAGTCCAGTGGGGCTGTCCAGGGAGGCATTGCTGGTTCTGCAGTCCTGGAGCTTACAGCTGAGCCACTTCATTTCACCAATGAGTCCATCCTGGGGGTTCTTGCCCCAGGTACTAAGGTTCTCAGGGCAGGAGGGCTCCTTTAGCTGGAAGCAGTCTTCCTCAGAGGCATTTAGCAGCCACTGGCAGACACAGGACACCAGGGAGCTGGCTCCTCTCTTCTCCTCCCTGCCTTTCATTTCTTCA